ACATATTGCACAAATTGCATTAAAGATTTAAATTTTAAATTTCAATAGTACGGCGTCTAGAAATAAAAACAATTTATATATATAAAAATGAATCCCTTTCGCCCATGGTCACGGCATCACGCGTGAGTGGCTGGACCGATTTCACTTTCATTTTTTTTGTTGTATTTGTTATTATTAACAGAAGTAAAGCTATTTGCTTATTCAAAGGTAGATTCCTATGGAGAAGAACGAGCAAGAAACTCCATAGATTATTCTTTTTCAAGCAGGTTCACAATACAATTATGGATTTACATAGTTTTGTTGGTACAATTGTGTAAGAACAATGTAACACCAAATTATTCTATTTTAAAGCAACCTGTGGACAGTGTGGCTACATATTAATACAACAATACCTTAAATGTATTGTGTCAACTAGTTCGTAAGTCTTTATAATGTAACTGTTAGCTGTACCTCTTAATAAAAAAAATAAGCACAAAGATAATCTCTAAAGACCGTTCGTCTTCCATCAAAGTCAAACTTAGGTTTTATTCATTATCTGCAAACAGTATTTTAGAGCTCAAACAAAAGTACCGTCAACGAATTGAATCTAAAAACTTAATTAATTAATCATTTCACTATCTTCTGAGTAAAAAGGATTTTTGGATGACTTTGCTTGAAGACGTTGAAGTTTGATCTGATTCGCTGAGCGCTTTCAAACCTTTGTTTACTAAACTTAGTTTCATAGACTCATCGATATCGATACTTTGTCAATAAGTGCTGACGATCGGTTAAATAATAATTATCATTTTAGACCAGTTTAAAGTTGTTAAGATGGTTTTTCGCTGACAAAGAGTTTGGTAAACGATTTATTGGATATACGAATTATCGTTAAATATGGCTTTTGTTGCTATGTGTGGCGTTGTTTAGCCAGTATAATCATTAATTAATCTACTATATAAAAATAAGTCGAGTTTTCCTACCTGACGCCATAAATTCAGAACTCACGAACCGATTTCCACGGTTTTGCATTCGTTGGAAAGGTCTCTGGCTCCGTGAGGCTTATAGCAAAAACATTTCTTCGTCTTTTAATCACCAAACGAAATGTTACCTACCTATAACGAAGCCATCTAGTGGCGAAACGGAGTTCGCCGAGTTTGCTAGTCTAATATAATTATCAATTAAAACTCAACTAAAACATAATATGGATTACATTTCAGAACCTTCTTTCTTCAAAGCTGGCCAAGAAGAAAAGTCCCAACAGAACACTAATCACTTAAGACCTTGCACTCCATTTCTATTCTTTCAGCAGTAATTATCAGTGTCAATACAAGTGTTACAACACAATACATTCCCCGTCAGCGAAGGAACTTCATCATTATTCTAACAAAAAGTTGGGAAATGCATACAATTCTCTCAAAGGCGTGAAAGACAATACGTATCACAAAGTAGAGGAACGCAAAGTAAGAGCGTTTGCTTGCCAAGTACCAGGAATGCAAACATGAGCTAGCGGTAAAGCGAGCAAGAGACGCCTTCATCACAACGAAACGTCTTAACAACTACCAATATGCCTAAGAAAACACCACCTTAAAGTCACGCAATACAGTCCACTTTCAACAGCTAACCTAAGAAGGTCGGATGCTCACATTTATTCGCGCAGTTGGAATGCGGCTGTTCCGTGATATGCTAAGCAAAAGCCAAGCAAACAAATTGGAAGCGACACATGAGAGGTGCACGAATAAAATGTTTCTTAAGAGAAAATACAGAGGAGAAAATTTAAAAACTATTCGCAAAAATAAACATTAGGTGTAGGCTGTTTTAGGTGCTTCGGTAGTCAAGAGCAGTGTAAACAATTGAGGGTGTATGATCTTCTTTCAATATGTTCGTATGTTTGCCTTCGCGTCGCGTCGATTGTATAGTTATATAATAATATAGCATTCTACTTTGTTTTACATTACATGTCTCGTTGGCCAAATGGAAGCAAGAGAAATTATCGAAAGGGGTTTAGAATAGACTCACTTTATACATACACTGAAATGACGCGTATGGTCGTACATAGATTCAATTCTATATTACTTTACACTCATGATTTAGCTGGTAAAAAAATCTGCTATTTTTTATTAACTATTTGGTTAATGGTAACAGTTTATCTATAGAGAAAAGATCCGAGAGAAAGATATAGAAAAATGTTTATAGGTAAGCTAGTTTAGACATGTTTTATTGAGATAAAGGAATTAAACAAATAACCATGTATCATAATGTGCATCTCAGTTAGTTACAAGAGCTGTGTATTAGCAGGCTTGGTTACTGTTCGCCCCCAGTGGAGCTAATCAGGGGTTTGAAGCCGTGTCAACAAAGCCACGTTGTTCTGTACCCGTGCTAGCTACACTTCAAACCACACGTGTTATTTAAACTAGACAATACTACAATTCTGTCAAGTAGGGATTGATGTGAAAGGTTTTTTTCTATAGGGTTTAATCAGGACTCTTTGATTGGCTAGTTTTATGAGGTAATGTACTGTTTTATGCTGTACAACATGATGTCCGGGTTCCTGGTGACACGTACTGTTTCTTATTACGTATGTTCTAATAGAAAGTGCGCGTTTTACATGTTTTTAATAAAGTAAATAGTTCAATAACTAAAAAAAATTGTACAATAGTGTTTCCATTTAATGTAAAACAAATTGATTTCCGTAACAGGTTACATATATAAAAAAAAGTTTATGATGACCAATAAAAATATCTTGAAAAAGAAGCGAAATAGTGCCAGTATACAATGTCACCTGTGGTCAAAAATATATTTTCCCGTGTAAAAACTGGGAGGATAGTAAATTTTATCCAATAATGTATCGTGTGCGTTGTTTTATTTTCAGCTTCAGAGGTTAATAGTATTGACGGAAGCGACCTCAATCCGTTGATGTGGAAAGCGCTCTCCGTGCCCAGTTTTCAGGTTTTCAGCAACTGTAAAACTGAGATTATTGTTGTATTGATGTGTTTTGTTAACTAATTCTTACTGTGGACGGTTTTAATTGTGTCAAGTTTGCGGGTTAGCAACTATACACATGTTTATTTATTATTTATGTAAACATTTGTACATCATAAAGGACAACACATATATAAAATTGAAGTAGAAAGGGGTAGGTACCCCTTAGAATAAGTTACCACTTATTCTTATTGGAATTTCTTCCTGTGGACCTGTGGCAGGAAAAACAAGAATGATACAATACAAAGTGTGTAATAACAATCAGAAAATTGACATAAAAACAGATTAAAAACTTAACAGACTAAAAAAAGGGCACATCACTTACAAAAAAATACTGCTATTAAACTATCATGATTTGTGAATATAAATAATTTGCTTTGTAGTCTTATATAAAAAGACTTTCATTAGATATCATTTCTTTTTTTTAGGAAAAAACTTCTTGAAGTTCTGGAAGTTAGATTAGCCTAAGTTTGAAAGCATGTCACGTCACATCGCACTGAAAGTTTAATTAAATATGATAAAATAATGGTAAACAAGAACAATGGCTGTATTAAAACATAGATCCATCAAGTCGCCAACAAGCGGCGAGCTATCAAGATCCCGGTATGTGTCAGCGAAATCACTACGGAAGTTCCCCGCAGATTTATTCATGACTTGGCCAAATATTTGATTGATTAACGTGTCTGAGCCAGTCTCGGGGCCTTCGATAAACTTACCGACCACTTCATTTGCCGAAAAAGGCTCTTGTTTAAACTTCTCAAGGCGGAAAGTGATGCTGCTCTTTTTTATAGACGCAAAAAAACATAAACTCCATTCAATTTCGTTAAAATAACGCTCGGGATGGAGGAGAATTATTGCATCGTACATAAAATCCCTTGGCGGGATTCTGTTACGGCTGATATATAAGTAATACAATAACGGCTTAATGTATTTGTTAATAAGACTGATGTTGCCTTACGGCTGCCGTGAGTTTTAAGGGTTTTTCTTGAAACTACCTATAAATTAGGATCTGAAAAAATGTTTTGTTAGGTCTTGAGAACAAGCGTACTTCGAACACACATATATATATGACATTATGCCGAAGGGGTAGGGCAGAGGTGCACATTACGGCACTTAATGCTACTGTACGATGTAACACCTACTGTTCACTATTTATGTTATAAGTCCAATGTAATAGGGGGTAAGCCTATTGCCATATACCAACAGTCTGGTAGTGTACCTCGAACTTCTTGGTTCAATGTCTTATAGCTATCACATGAATATAAGTAGATGTATAAACGTACACAACAAGATCATAGCAGGTGGCCTTTTTTGTTGTTTATCTAAGAGAAAAACGTAAATAGAAAATTGCTAAAGAAGGGAAAGTTTGCCAGCGAAATACAAAGATTCTAGTCAAAATATCTTTGCTTGTTTAAAGTCCAACGAGTTGCAATCTTTTGAGTATTCACGAGAAATTCACTATAACTTCCTAATGCACTTAAACCAAAATATATTATCACTGCGATAAACATGACATCATTGACCTTCATACAATTTGAACACTAGTTGATGCCTGCAGCTACGCTCACGTTAATTCGTACTTTAGATACGAAATGTCAAACACCATTTTCGTCCCTTTGCGCTTCTAGTTTATTTGAACAGTAATACACACTATGGTCTAGATGAAATCGAAGTTTTCCCCACACGTAAAAGTATTTTAATACAGCCCACAATAAATCCACCGATACAACATTAGCCCGACCAAGTTCCACTCTCTAAGGGAAACAATCTGAAGACGTATTGCACTTGTTTGTGTTCAATATTCTTCTTCCTAACATTTTCAAATACGTTCGCGTTAGATGCAACTGAAAGTATCTTTTTCAAGTTTATTTATTTGAAAACTTCTGCGATATCATTAACTTATATAAATTTTAAGTCATATTTTAAAAGCGAAGTATTTTTTTTAAGGCATAAGCCGGTAAAAGAGCAGACGGATCACCTGATGGTAAGCAATCGGCGTCGCCCATGGACCTGGAACACCAGAGGCGTTACAAGTGCATTACCGGCCTTTTGGGGATTAGGAGTTTGAGGATCGTTGGGGATTCAGGAATTGGGGAGACTGGGGAAGGGGAGGGTAATTGGGCCTCCGGTAACCTCACTCACACGACGAAACACAACGCAAGCGTTGCTTCACGTCGGTTTTCTGTGACGCCGTGGTATCACTCTGGTCGAGCCGGCCCATTTGTGTCGAAGCATGGCTCACCTACACTTAAAAAGTTTATCTGTTTTCATGTCGTGTGTGAAACAGTACTGTGACGGTCAATTTGTTGTGCTTGGAGACAGCCAGGAGGCTGGCGACAGACATTGTAATTTTTTTTATTCAAATGATGCTGTAAATATACGCCTTATTCTCGTATAGTATCGCCTTTTATCCCCGAAGGGGTAGGCAGAGATGCATGTTACGGCACTTAATGCCACTGTAAGTACAATGTAACACCCACTTTCTACTAGGGTGAGCCTATTGCCATATATCGGGCATAAATCCAGACTCCGTGTTACTACTGAGATTTTTTTTAAACTCAGTATTACTTTCTCCGACTCGGGAATCCGAGACCCCTTGCTCAGTAATCGCACTTACGACCACTCGGCGAACGAGGCAGTATAATAATCATTTTTCCTTAAATAAAACAAGTTACCAGCCATTTAAACCGGAATACATAATATGGAACAGTAAATAAAGGCAAAATGTTGATAGAAAATATCAAGTATCGCACGTAACTCATCTTGAAACCTTAGTACGCTGGCTGGCTAAAATTCATTATTAAAATATATCGCACAGCTTTAATGTTATTCTAAAAATATTATTATTTAACGCTAAGGGCGGCCTGTAATCATTAAATTGTACGAAGAACTTTATGAACAGTGATACTGTCGAAATCTACATTTTCTGTACAACACATTTTATGTCCAAATACTCAAATGCCGCTGAAATTTTAAGTCGCGCTTAAGATCCAATTGTATCTCTCGCCCGGGTGAGGCGAGAGGGAGTGTCAAACTCTAACTGACTAAAAGCCACCCTGTTCCTACTCCTGGACTTTGAGCTGGAGCCCCGGCAACCCGTTAAGCCTTCCGCGGCTCCGTATCGACATCAGCCGTATTGGGCGCCATTTGTAGTGATTTGATGGCTCTTTGAGGCGCGCGGATCGCTATGCACCTTACGCTAGGCCCTAGGTATGGCGAGTTACCCGTGCTCACCGTCCGCAGGCCCGCGCTTACGGTGGCCGGTCGACGCCGCCCGACGCCCAGAATGTCTCGCGACATCTGGGAAGTGAAGAGGTTCGTTCCCTATGTGAGAAGAGGCTGGTCTATCGATAATCAGTTATACGTAAATTTATTAATAACATATACATATCACATTTGTATCCCCTTGAGGTAGGCAGAGACAATGGAATCCCAAATGGTGCGATTCTGGTAATTCTTCTTTCGCTTCATCTACTAAAACGTAAACACGTTATAGTATTTTTTTTCGCTTTCTTTGACGCACAGAAGTTATCGTCCAGTATTTATTAGTAAAGAAATACGAGTAAATATGTTATCCACATTGAAGAAGGGTCCCTTCCATACGATGTTTCATGTATATAAGCTCTTGTATACATGCGGCGACCACACGTCTCGTCGACACGTCTCTCCGATACCCGGCTTAACAAAATCCCACAAATACATTATTTTTCCACCTTATCCCTAGACGGCTATTAGCCAATGTTTACACTAACGATAAAATAATGATATCTTTTATATGTTTTATTGCATTTTTTCTTAAGATGCCATGTGTCTAATAAATTCATATTTTGTCAACGTAGTGCATTTCAATATAGTGAAAGATTTTTTTTTATTCTCGTGCCTCTTTTTATGCTTTTAAAATCAGTATTACGACAATGAAAACTTATGGATATTTGAAGTCAATGAACTTTGTATTGTACTGAGAATGTTGCAGTTTGTTCGACTACTGAGTATTGTTAGGTCGGCCAATATGTTACATGTAGGCACAGATAATTAGGAAAACGGTATTACAATTTTTACCGAGTTTTTGTAAAAAAGAATTTAATGAGTATGCATGCACATTACATGTAATAAAGTCTAAACCAAAACATCAACCTATTGGCGAATAAATGGCTAATGTAAGGACATAATTCTAGGTAATGGTCATAATTATGGGTTTTTACTAAAATGCTAGTTGCTAGCTATTGCTTTTCAATGATGAGCTTATGTCCTTCTCTGTACTGCCGATAGGGTACAATTTCAAGACGATTGGTGATACTGATAAAGCGTAAAAGGTAACGAACTTACATTCTCATTTGTTTTATTAGTAGTAGAATACTAGTAAGTTAATAATTCTTTTACACACTACGTTCAAAAAATCGACTTGAACTTCCTCTTTTCTTGAAGGTGATTAAGTTAATATACTAAAACCTTCTCCTAAGTGTAACAAACACTATTCTGTAAACCGCATCAGTTCAGCCAATCGGTTCAGCGATAAATCGCGCACAAACATTCATACATATACAAGGTGTAGTTTTGAAACCGTGGCATTTCTCGGGGTCATGTCACAGAAGTCATAAAGGTTCAATATAAAAGAAAGTTTCGGGCCAATAGTTAAAAATACGGCTATAATAAATCGTATAAGTTCGATAGTATTTCAGAATAAGCGTCAGCAATGTGTCTTATCGGAGTTTTATGGAATTAGGAATAATATCAATTACGTGTTTGAGTTTGTGTGTGTTAAGCCCAGTTACAAAACTAGTTACAAGACGGCGGCATGTAGTTCGCACTTACGGATGTCCATAATTTACAGAAAAATCCTTACTAATATTATAAATCGGAAAGTGAGTTAGTTTGTTTGTTTGTTTGTTCCGACTTCACGCCGTAACTACTAAAGCGATTGCATTGAATTTTTGCAGACGTAAAGTTAGGAGTCTGGATTAAATAATAAGGTACTTTTTATCCAGAAAAAATTTATATTCCCGAGGGAAAACAAAAGTATTGGTATAGATGGCGCTGTATGTATTGGTATATGTCATAGGCTACTTTTCATCCTTTTGTTACGCGAGCGAAGCCGCGGGTAAAAGCTAGTAAAATATATTTAAGTACATTTTTTTATTGATTCGGACGTAGAATCGATAGCCGAGTTACCTCCTAGAAAATGACGCGGCTTTAAAACAACACCTTGTAAACAGGTCACACTGACATCCTTCTTTTGTTTTGAAGTCGGTTAAAACATCTGACTACAACTACTTAAAAAGACGTAATACAAGCTAGTTTCTTTTTAATTCCACGGTTCTTTGAAGTACGTACAATGTTTTATTTTCTACATTCCAAGTTGGCTCTCTGAAAAATTGCACTAACATTCAACTGTGAAAACATCTCAAGTAGACTGAGACTAACTTATAGGATAGAAAGATCTAGATCTTAGATATAAAGAGTTTAAAAGTGCTTGTAATTTGAGTTAGATACTTGCTATTAGACCTTTAGGTAACTGTTAGCGAAGACGACTAGATAGTAGATACTAATTTCTTAACTTGAGTTAAGTTAGGGTTAATCTGAAACATCTTATTTTGGTTTTATATTTCGGGAGGAGACAAAGGAACCTTTAGTTCAGACGATAGGTACCTTTCACTCGTTCAAACCTTCAAGAAAAGAGCGTATTCCTTTTTAAAAAGCCGGCAACGCACCTGTGTTTCCTCTGGTGTTGTGGGGGTCTATGGGCGGCGCTGATAGCTTACCATCAGGTGATCCGTCTGCTCGTTTGACTCCTATTTCATAAAAAAAGGTTTTTGCAACTCTTGTTTGACAAGATCCAAAGAAATAATTAGGCCCTTATTTAAACCACCTGGTACCCTGTACTGTAAATCAATTTATCCTAAATCTACAATAGAGGCTGCGCTAGTAAAACGATGACGTCCAACAATCACAAATTATGTTATCTTAGCTTTGTGTACTAATTAGTAGCTACTAGCACAATAGTAGTACGGACTGATTTGATCCATTGTCCGCCAATCAACGTACATAACTACATACATACCTATATAGATGCAACAGCACAACAAAGTATCCTAAATTACTTTAATACATTCTCGACTTTATTACAATTAACTATAGAGCTGAAAATTAGTATAAAAGTTTTATAATACGGGGTAGTTCGATGTGCTGTAATCTGTGCTTACGGGCTTACATATACAGGATGTATTTTAAAAGATATTCAACTTTAGACTTTTGTTACAAGGTTGTAATTTGACTGAAGTGATTGCACAACTAGGTGCATCTGTACCTAGGATTCTATATGTAGTCTATAATGACAATAGTCCGAATTTGATTGACAGCACTAACTTAGCCGTTGGCAAGTATTCGTTGATCGTATTAGCGAACAAGCCGATTATAACGTTAGCTTGTCGGATTACCAGATACTGATTTCCGTATGTGGTTTTGCTTGTGAAATTTTGATTTTTGATATGACTATGAAGATTTCGACTGGTCACAATATGAAGTTAAAGTTTGTGACTAATGTTTATGGTAATGCGTCGCCCATGGACTCCTGGAACACTAGAGGCATTACAAGCGCGTTACCGGCCTTTTGGGGATTAGGAGTTTGAGGATCGTTGAGGATTCAGGAATTGGGAAGATTGGGGGAGGGTAATTGGGCCTACGGAAAACTCACTCACACGACAAAACACAACGCAAACGTTGCTTCACGTCGGTTTTCTATAAGGCCGTGGTATCACTCCGGTCGAGCCGGCCTATTCGTGCCGAAGCATGGCTCTCCCACACTTAAAACTGGCGAAAACTGGATACTACATATAACATATGCAATTGTGCAACTCTGTTGGGGTCTCTTTACATGAGTAAAGCCCTTGGGGAAATAGAAGGAGTGATGCTATTGCGTTGTGTAGACTCAGTCTCAATTCTCAGAACTGACAATGTAAGGTAGGTGTACGTTACAAATTCGAAATTCTCTGTTACTTATGTATATACTATCTGTTTTTATAATAACTATCGTGAGACATACTGAATTAACTAAAAATTACCAGTTATTTACGTAAATGGGTAGGGTGCGTGACGTCGCCGTGACCGCGCACGCTGCTCATGAGGATGAGTCTCTCTGTGCCTCGAAACTAGTAGAGCTTTTGTCAGTATATTTACATACGTGAGTAACTTGTAATTTTTAGTTAA